CCTGGAGAAGGGCAGCAAGGGAAGAAACAAAAGAGGTGTCTGCAAAGACCTACCAGTCCCCAAAATTCCTCCAAGTTAGGGAAAATGGGAGTGTTCTCCTTGGAAATGAAAGCTGCTTTCCCAGGGATGGGGCCTGTACAGATGGATGGCATCTTTTCCCTGACTAATGGAGGTTGAAAGAAAATAGATGAGCTCCTGGATGAGAGCTCTGAGTCACCTGGATGCTTTTGAAATTCTTCTGAATGTAAAGCAGGCCTTGGAAGAGCTGTGGTTTGGCTTGTTCATTGGCCTGGATGGACACGGAGGTTTCCTGGCACTAAGTGTTGGGAGTGCTGGAAAGACGTCCCATGGGCCCTTAGATGTTTTGGGAGCTGGGAATTTTGGCTCAACCATCCCAATGTTCTCCTCCTTGCCCATCCCATGGCAGAGGGTGACCATCACTCTCCTTCCAAGACCCTCCCTGAACTCTTAGTGAAGGAATCATGGAATGGTTGGGTTGGAAGGGACCTTAAAGCTCTTCTCATTCCACTCATGGGCAGGGACACCTTCCACTGTCCCAGGCTGCTCCAAGCCCTGTCCAGCCTGGCCTTGGGCACTTCCAGGGATCCAGGGGCAGCCACAGCTGCTCTGGGACACCTGGAATGGGGAAAAGCCACCTCAGATGTGTCCTGCTCCACCACCCAGCTGGCCGAGGGCAGCAAGACTTCCCAGGCTTTCCATGACCTGGCCCTAGCTGGCCTCATGCCTGTGGCCCTTGGCAGGGCTGGAGAGAAGGGGAAAGAGCACAACAATCCCAGGAAGAGCCTGAGCTCAGGCAGGAGCCTGGAAAACAGGGAGTCCAGGGGGGAGTTTCCCCCTTCGCCCTCCGGGTCCATCCAGGAGCTCACAGGTCTCCTGCACTTCCCCCTTGAAGGCACTGCAGGGTTTAGGGGTGTTCCTACCATCCCTGAGCTGTTTTATCTCGTTCCAGACAGGGCATTCCTGAACCACCAGGCAATGCCAGCGCTGTCCACAGAGCCATCCCCTAACGCTGCTTTTACCCCATGCTGTGCTCCAGCCTCCTGCCCCCCGTTTCTTAGAGAGTTCCAACCATTCTGATCTAACTTCTATGGCTCTGCAGCCTCACAGATGTGCATTCCAAACCTTCAGCAGCACCAAAGGCAGCTCTCCCTGGTGGGCTGCTCCATGGGATGCTGCAGGGTGGGAAGGGCAGGGCTGGGAGGATACCCCAACGCTGGGGCCCAGGCACAGAGGGTAGCGGTTCTGGCTGTGGACTCAGACTCCAACACGAGTTACAAACTCCTGCAAACATCAGATTCCTGCAGGTTTTCCCTTCCTGGCACGTTTCAAAGTGTTTGAGGTGAGGTCACGAGGTGAGGACCCCCAGGGATATTCCAAGATAGGCTTGGGCTGCATCCAGGCGTGCAACATCCCCAAAGAGGGTTTGGCACATCCCAAGGACAGCGGCTGCTTTTGCTATGACCCTTTCCAAAAGGCCCAAGGCACGTCTCAGAGCAGAGACAGGGCCCCCAGGGCAGCAGAAGCTGGTGCTGAAGGAGCTGCATCCCCTCAAACACCGCTCCGGCACCATCTCTTCCCATCCTGCCCCCACCGGGATGCCGCGGGGCCGGTTCCTGCCGGACACCCCCGGCTGGCTGCTTCCCCTCCTTTTGAACTCCTTTCATCTCCCCAGGCACGGCTGGGAGGGGGAAGTTTGGGCTGGGCCAGGAGATCCCGCTGTGCCCGGATGGGGGGGATCACAGGCTGGGGGTCCTGCCTGGCTGCCAGGCAGGGAGGAAGGATGTAAGAGGGGAGGAAGAGTTTTCCACCAGCAGATCTATTTTAGGTGGTTTCCAGCTGTTCCTGTGGGGGCTGGGGGAAGCACTGTTATAGCCTGCTCAGCCCAAGTGATGCCCCTGCATCCCTCCTAAGTCAAGGAAAGGCCCCTCAGGTGGGAGGCAGCACCATTCAGGCCCCAGCAGCCAGGAGAGATCAGGGGCTGGAGAAAAGGGAGAGGACTTGGTGGGACATCCCAGTGCCATGACCATGCTGGGTGTGTGCTGGGGAGAGAAGGAAGAACAGGAGGCGCCAACTCAAATCCAAACCAGACCCCTCTCCATCACATAAAATCTGCCTTCACCTTGCAAGAGTGGCCCATGGCCCTCTGTTCTTCTGCGTCCGTGGGAAGTGCCCCTGGAGTGATGGAGCATTGGATGCTGCTCTGGCATCTCCCACTGCCTTGTAGAGACACCCCAAATGTGTCAGGGTACCATTTCTTCCAGGAGAAACCCACTCTTGGGGCCACCAGGTTTCCAGTGTCCCCCAGGGCTCAGGTCCCCAGCAGCTGGGTCTGAGTGTTTCCTGGAACAGGGGTCAGAGCAGCAGGTTGTCCCCCAGACTCCCAGCCCAAGGGCCAGGCTGTCCATGGAGCTGGAACCAGGCTGCCATGCACCGTGTTCCCCATTCCCTGCCGTTCTCTCCGTGGGGAAGGCACAAACTGCCAAGAGAAGCTGTGGATTCCCCACTCCTGAAGGAGTCCAAGGTCAGGCTGGAAGGGGCTTGGAGCAACCTGGGATAGTGGAAGGTGTCCCTGCCATTTCCCTCTCCCTGAGCCTCAGCAGCACCAGGGCTGCCTGTGGGAGGGGAGCAGGGCTGGAGTGTGGGAGATCCCCACAGGACCCCCTCAGCTTCATGTGGGTCACACTGGTGAGGATCCACCCTGTGCCAGGCTTGTCTGAAGAGTCCCCTGGCACAGGAATGGGCTGCAGTGAGCACACTGTCCCTGCCTCCCTGCCTGTGCCAGGGGAGATGGCCCTGCCCATGTTCTAGCTGCCCTAGGGATGAGCCTGAGGCAGATATTCCCACATCCCTCCCCACCTGCCTGCACAGCTCTGCTCAGCTCTGGCTGCCATCACTGCCTGCAGCTCTCTGGGGGTGTCTGGAGCTCCCCCAGAGTTCTCCCAGGTACAGTGGCCACGTGTTCCCCCAGGGCCCCGAGTCCTGCCGGGTGCTCCAGGCTCTCAGCACCCAGTTTGCCACTGCTGGGTTCAGTGTCACAGTTAGCAATGACACCACAAGAGCCCTGAACACTGCAAAATTGCTGTCACTGTCATCCTTAGCGTCCTGCAACAAGCTGGGAGAAACTCGAGGCCTTTCAGATTCAGGGAATATTCCTTAGTGGTGTTTCCTGTCCTGTGTGCTGTACACAGGGCACTGCATCCCCTAAAATCACCACTTGTGATCACTGCCAGGAATTCATGAAGCTGTAGGGTCTTTAAGGTTGGGAAAGACCTCGGAGATACTTGAGTGCAACCATTAGGTTGATGAAGTTACAAAGCTTTTCAGTATTAAAATATGTTCTGAAAAGACAGAAAAAAACTCCTGCTGCTGAGTTCTTGGCACACAATAGGATCACAAAATTCAGGGTGGGAATTGCATGAGAAAAACCCACCCAAACTGTACAGCACAATATTAATATTAATATTGCTCCCAGGAGATCTCCTGAAATCAGGGCAGGAATCTCCCTTGAAAAGCCCATCCGATGCTCAGAGGCAGACAAGGAGTTAAAAATGGACTGGTTTGTTAGGAAAATGCCTGACAGGCTGTGCTGCTCCTGTGGAGCCGCAGAACTCCCACACCGGAGCCTTCCCCACACGCAGGAGATGCGCAAAGCCCAAAAAAGCTCCGAGAGCAGTGACAGGGTGGGAATCACTCTGGTGACACCGGCGGGCTGGGAGACAGCGATTGGGAAAATCACACCTAGGGAGGAAGTCGGGAACAGTCTGTGGAATCATGTGCGGCAGCGAGGGGGTGGCCAGGGATTGTGGGTTTATCCTGCACCCCCTCCTGTCTAACAGATCTTCTCCAAGCAAGCTCTGCTGCTGCTGTCTGCGGGAAAACAGCAAAGGAACACATCCCTGGTGATCCCATGGATGTGGGGACACCGAGAGCGCTCGGGCCATCCCAGCGCAGGCGCCTCCCGTCCCTGTCTCCCTGAATGGGAAGGCAATTCCTGCCTCGGGAGGGGTCTGGGCAGCACCAGCACAGGGGCTCGGTGCCTTTCCGGGCTCTTTGTGCTGATGAAGGGTCGGGGACCCCTCCAGAGAACTACCCGAAGTGCAGAGGGGTCTGACAGGAGCGCCCAGCCGGGCTGGGCTGTTCTCCAGTGATGCTCCCGCATCCCGAGCCTGGCACAGGAGTCCCCAGAGAGAGGGGGGTTCACAGCCAGGTGAGCCTGGCAGAGGAGTCCCCAGAGCGAGGGGGACTCACAGCCAGGTGAGCCTGGCCCTGCTCAGGACACCCAGGTCGGCTCTCATGTCCCAACCCCGCTCACAGCCCCCGCTCCCACCGCGGCACCCCCGAAATGCTGCCCCAGCCCAGCGGGGCATAAAGGGTTAAATATCTCCTCCTGGGGCGTCAGAGCTCCAACAAAGTGCTCAGATAAGGTATCCTCCTCCTTTTCGGCCCGAGGTACTTGCTCTGGGCTTGGAATGGCAGCAGTTAGAGAAGGGGGAAACCGGAGAAAGGAGTTTTTTGCAAGGCCCGCTCTCCTGGGGGAGGCTGCCCCGTGAAATGTGCCAGGCTGCCACCTCCGGTTCCTCAGACTCCCAAAGCTGTGTCCCACAGCAAGTCCCGCCGCTGCCCATGGCAAGGGAAAATCCGGGCTGGAAGCCGAACCTGTGTCCCCTTTCCTCCAGGAGCACCCCGCTGGGGCTGTCCCATGCTTGGGGACATTTGTCCCGGCCGTGGGGATCCCGTGAGGGACTGTCCCTCGCGGCCAGCACTGCCTGCACACCCAGCACCCCCCGACACCCCAAAAGAAGTTGCTGGAGCCTCCAGGACACCCCCCCCCCTCCTCTCCCAGCCTGTCCCTGCAGCCAGATGTGTCTGGGATGGTAGCGTGGAGGAAAGTCCTTTCTCCCAGGGCTTCTCCAAGAATTTGGGGTTTCCTCACTCCCTTTTAACCTCCCCAACAGAGCCGGTTCCGACGCCTTTCCTACCTGACAGGGATCTTCACCCGCAGGTACCGGTCCACGGCAATGGCCAGGAGCGCCAGGATGGAGCTCTCCGTGAGGATGAGGACGGGACAGGCCACCATGAGGCAGGTGTAAAACTCCGTCTGGGGTCCGATGTTGATGATGATGGCCAGGGGGATGACCAGAGCCCCCACGGCCACGTCGGCCACCGCCAGTGAAACGATGAAGCAGAAGGTGGCATCCCGCAGTGCCTGGTTCATCTTCACAGCCCAGATGACCAGGATATTGCCCGGCACGGACACCAAAGCGATGAGCACTTCGATGGAGATGTAGGCAGCCTGGAAGGCTGAGATGGGGTGTGCCATGATGCTCCGGTCCGCCCTGCTCCCGTGGGGTTCCTCGGTCGCCTGCGAGCACACAGGGAGGCAGTGAGAGAGTGGCATCGCTGATCGAGCTGCGAGCGGGATGGA